TGTAGGAGTTGGCACTGGTGACCGTCCTGTACTGGAGGACCAGCACCACGTGCTGAAACGCTAGTGATGCCATGCTGCTCACAGGAAGGACCGCCACTGTGCTTCCGAGTGTGGATGACAGTGTGGTGGTGTTCCAGAATGTTCCTTCTCGCCACCTGTAAGGACGTCTATCTGAAATACAGTGGAGCCTGTACAGTAGGCTGTACCTCATGAGTATCGATCAGGGCTGTAGTGCATGCCCAAAAGCAGGTGACATCGTTGAAATTTTATTAAATATTGGGAATATCATTGAGAATTCAGGAAATTCTAAAACCTATAATGTCTATATCATAAAAGTTGCCAAGGCCCTGTTGTAAATAACTGTAAAGCTATAAATATGTATTTAATGTGGAAATTTAAAAAGCTCACACACACGTACCTATTCATACACACATACTGGAAAATTTTGTGCAGGCTGTTTAGCATCTGATTATTATAGAATTTGTTTAATCATGAACTAGTCCAGTGGCATGGCTCCTTTACTAGTGGGATAGAAATGCCAGTTGGGTGGCCACATAAGTGATTTCAGTGGACCAGTTTTATTCAGTATTCACTGTTTTGTTCTCTCATTGTGTGGTACACAAAAGTAACAGAAGGGGAGATAAACACAGCAAGAGCATGAGTTGTAAGCAAAGTTCAGGAGTGAGGATAGTGGGTCTGAGTTGCAGGGAATGATTATCTCTCAATGCAATTTAGGCATAAATTTTAAATTTTTGCACATTCACTGTAAGTACAAATAGTTTAAGTACTATGAAAACACAAATTATTTAAAATTAAAGTTTTCTTGTACACATATCAAATATGATAATGTTTATCTTGATATAAATATACGTGCAAGAGCTTTGTGTGTCTGTCATAGAATTACAGTGCCTTTCCAAATTTAATTGCTAATGTGCACTGCATGTGAAATAGGATGGCCTGCTACTCCAGCCTGAGTCTGTGCCCCATGTTAAGTGCTCTAATCTATTATTTAACAACTGAAATTATATTGAGAAGAACAGCCTGGAAAAGTGCATCTACTGTCTCTCTCAAGTGTTTGACCATGCAAGTGTCAGCGTAGCTCACCACCTGCTCACGTTGCTCCTGGGTACACATTTGTGCGGGGCGGGTTGTGGACTCCAGGAGAGATTTTTTTAAAAAATTGAAAAGGCACGCTTTTCTTGTACATGATCTGAAAAACATGAAGATATTAATTTCAGAGGGCAAATTTGAGAGGTTTAGCAGAATATATTTTTTCTCCAAAATGTCACTTCCTTTGTGTTTAATATTTACTGCGTTTTAATTAATATTCAGTCATGTCAAGATAAGTATAGACATGGTACGATGGGATCAGGAATAACAATTCCAATAGTTTAAAAATAGAGATTAGAAATTCTAGTATTTTTATGAAGTTATTTTGCCTTATCTAGACTAAAGAAGGGAGAACACAGAGGCTTGCTGTATTTTTCTTGTAATATATTTAGCAAATGCACATTAATACAAATCTCAATGCATGATTATACAAGTTGAGAAATAAATTATTATTTTAAAGTTTTTTTCTAAAGTTCCCTTCACATGGTAATTTGCAAGTGCAAGAATCTCTTTAAAATATGTTTAAATGTGAAAAATTTTAAGAAGATGCAAAAAAAATTCAGAGTACTATAATTTTCATCCATGGTAACTACATTTTGCTTGACAGAATTATAGAAGAAATAAAATAAAAAGTATTTCCTATTCAAAATATATTACATATTTATTTATTATTGGGAAAAATAATAGAATATATTCCCAAATACAAAGCCAACACCAATACTGGTAACATTTCCCACATATACATCCACTCATTTCTCCCTTTGCCTCTCTGTCCTCCCAAAATAAGAAGGCTTTCACATTTCTGCATTGCCTTGCATATACCTTTTAGAATTATTATAATTTTAAAAGAATTTATGATCATTCTGCTGTTTTTGAACATTTAATGTTTTCAAATTTAGATATTAAATGGTACGTCTGTTAATATCAATAAGATATTATATGTATCTATATCGATTTGCTTACACCCAACCTTAGCTTATGCGTGTAGTTTTCTATTATCTAATCATACTGTATTTCACATATTTGAAATTTGCTACTATAAATGAATATGTGATTTTGGGGAAAGATATATGAAGTGTAGGTATTTTGTAAAATTGTAGAGATGGGCTAACGTTTTCCAGAACCGAACATGGCTTTGTGGATCCTTCAGTTTTTTTTTTTTTTAATCTTAATTTGAGGTAGAAAAGCGTATTGGAGTCACCCGGGGGGCACTTTTGAAGGGCCTCCTCCCTGTGTGGAACACAACTTTATTGTTGGAGAGGAGGCTGCGCGGGGGTTTCCCCTAGATAAAGGACCACAATTGTACACCGAAAATCACCTATTTTACAGGTCATGAGTCTGAAGCCTGTGGGACGTAACTGTCGTAAAATCAAATTTCTGAGCGGTGTCAATGCCTCCAAGTGCAGTTTCCTGCCGTTCACCATTCCACTCTGCCTTTTCACCGATTTCCGGTTAAGCCTTTCTCAGCAGGTCTCTCAAACAGAAAAAGCGGCTGTGGGGACACATAAGTTGGCGAAACACTTCATAGTGCAGAACGTCTTACAGCCTGGGCACACCTGTGAGCCTCAGGGTCTCAGGAGTGGATGTCGTGGGTTTCCCACCTTACAGCAGTGGGCGTGGAGTCCAGGATTACACAGCCTTCCTCTGTCTTTTCCGGCACCCTCTAAAGAGGTCGTTCCCCCTGTACTCTGCCCTCATCTAGTATTCTCAAATAATAAAACGCTGTCCTTACACATGGCAGTTAACTCAATTTAGCCATCCATTTGTATGCTTATTAGTAATCCTGATTTTTTATGTTTACCTAAATAATCACATATATCTCATGTACATTATTGAGATTAGAAATGAGTGGGCATCAAATTTTGGTCTGTACCAGAGCCACCTTAGAGGGCTTACGAAAATTCCCAATACTGGGCTCACCTGCATCTTCTTTACCCATTGGATCCGCAGTCTCACAAATTGCAGTGAGCACTAGGATGCTTTTCCAGGGACTGCATTCGGAGAAGCCACTGCTTTAAAATTTGTTATGACTTCTTCCAAATTTAGGGGAGTGTTTGCTGCTGAGATGGATAATTATTCATTCTCTTGTTGGGGTTCGCTTTGTGTTCACGTTACTAATGCAGACAGTTTGTTTTAATGGACTCTTACTCAAGTCAGGAGAGCCCAGGGATAGACTAGAATGTAAATTTTAAAATGTGTTTAAGTCCATGGCTGAATCCAAGGGAAGAACCTCCAGGATCACTTTTGTCCATTCATTCATTAAGCATGGTCGCCAAGGCAGATGAGTTATATTAAGTTCCATAGAACGTTCCCTTGCTCTGTGGTTTCTTTCTCTTGTGCTTTTTACATCTCTTCTTGTTGCTCCTCCCTTCTTCATGCTGCCTAACCCCGGCTGCTTCTGTTTTAGACACCAGAATGTTTGATTGGGGATTTTGCATGTGGGGATTTTGCCAAATTTTACTCTTTAAATATGACGCTGGTTTACTTTGCAAATTCACTTTGTCAAGGACAATTATATATCTGTGGCTTTCACACTATGTTTTCAGACACTTGCCAAAGACTCCACACTCCTGTGTGTTCCTGCACAGACATTCCTAACTCAACCACGGGCCTCACAAAACACCCTTCCCCTGGTATGGAATGTACACTCATGGTTTCTCTCAAGAATGTCTCCTTTACAAAAATAATGTGTTCATGGCCTCATAAATTGATTTCATTACCTAATGATGGGTGGGTGCCTAGAGTTTTAGAAGCCATTATTAACAATGAAAAAGGCTAGATCACTCATGTTTAGGTCCAAAAATCACTAATGTTCTGATTTTTCCACTAGAAAAATGTCTGTGCATGTCCTTAAATATTTGAGGCCACTAACGTGTAATCTGCTGGCTTAAATTTTCAGTACTTTATGAGAAGTTGGACACTCTCATCCCTGCAGGCCCACTGACTGCATTTCAGCAGTTGCTGCTCCCCAGCTCCCTCTCCCTGGGTCCCTGCCTCTTTCCAGTGCACTGCAAGATGTGATTTTCATGTCATTAATCTTAGTTAAATGCTATGATTTTTCCAATTTTGTTTTGAGGAGATTGGTTTTGGAATATACAAAATAAATTCCATAGTAAAGCAAATAAAACTACAGGTTTGTTTTTGTTTTAAAAAAATTAATTTAAGGAAGCATTTTTTTAAAACTACATTTCAAGTGACTTTCAGCAGAGTATCAAAGCAGAGTTCCCAATAGATGGGAAATTAACTGTTGACTTCAACTTCAAATTTCAAAGCCCTGTGGGATTTTCTTGAATCACTTGATTGATTAAATCTTTGTTCTTACTTCAGGACAACAATTGGCTAATGTTAGCATTTAATTGTATTTAGAACTACTGGAACTCTCTTTTTTCTTAGTATAATTTCTTTCTTAAAACATATATTGTTACATATGATAAGCACAATGACAATCTTTTAATTCTACCCTAGTGATATCATATGGTCTATTAGTTGGCAAACTATCCTCAACTGCTCAATACAAATGTAAAAACATAAATTGTGAAATCTGTTTCAGGTTGATGCTTTTAATTTGGTTGTATTTGAAAGTACTTGCCCTGTTCTTTAAATGTACACCTAAATATGTGTTATATGAACAGCTCTAGGTGATTTCTAAGTGTGTCCAACATTAAAGAAATACAGAGAGGAGTTTGTTATGTGAATAGTAGGAGGAGGTAGTAAGAATGCTTTACTGGAGTGAAAATCTACGCATCCAGGGCCATCTTGGAATGCTATTGAAAGTGGTCCTGTAGATCTATTTTTTGAGGAGTAGACATTTAACAAACAAAGAAGACTGTGGCCATATCCAAGTCAGCATAAGTTGTAAAGTTGTCCCTTACCCATCTTTTCCCTTGTAGTCTGAAAAGAATGACAGTGAGCCGGGCAGCCAGAGGATTAAACCTGTTTTTGTGGAAGACGCTAATTTTGGAAGACAGATATCCTACCAACATGCGGCGGTGCACATCCCCACGGACATCTACGAGGGCTGTAAGTAAGAGAGCGTGAGCCGCTGCTGGAACACTGGGCTCTGGCGGGTCCTGTAGATCCCCGGGCTGAAACCCAAAACGGGAGCGGGACGAGGGGGGCTGTGTCATACAAGTGGTCTGTGTGTCTGTGAGAGGCCCGTGGTGGGTAGATCTAACATGTACGAAGCCCTGAGTCTGATCGCCAGCCCCAAGAGCAGAAGAAAAACGGAGCCATGCGAAACTGATGTAAAAACATAACCCTGAAGTGTGAACAGTGCACAGTTCATGCGTCTTGACTAAGGAAATAGCTGTGGGTGAGTCTGCATCAGACTGTGCCCGGAGGCAGGACGTGGGCTCAGCCAGCCCTGGCTTTGGTGCTGGAGCCTCAGTGCCCGGGGATGGCCTCCTCCTTTGGCACTGCACGCTGCCTCCTAACGTGGGGAGAGGTGGAAAGACCCCCGTGGAGGGTATAAAAATGGGTTTCTTCTCCTCCCGCCAGGGGGACGGGCTGTGGAGTAGATCTGGCATCCAGAGCACGACCGGGTTGCTCTGTTCTGGAGCCGGAATTCAAATCCAAATCATTTCCTTCACCAGATTCTTCAATTTCGTGGGCAAGCGTTTTGTCATCCGTAAAGTGGGTTGGGATTAGTAGCCTGAAATAACATTTGAAGATAGAATGAGTGCATGTATTTAAGTTCTCTAAATAATACCACGTACGTCTGTGTTGGTTGTTATTATAATTAAAGTTTACTTAGGCACAAAAGATTAAGTAAATAGAGTTTATAAATTAGCTTTCATTTGTAGTTCCATTCAAATTATTTGTTTAAAAAGAACATTTAAACACATGAATGATTCTTTGTATAACATGTTTCATCTTTTGTAGTTCTTTTACTCATTCTAGTCTCCCTGCCTCTCACTTTCTCTCACTCCCCTCCCGTCTCCCTCCCCCCACCTGTAATAGGAATCCACCCCAAGGCCTTACCCATGCTGTTCAAGTGATCTGTCACTGAGCATCCCCTAATCTGTTTCTGCGCTTATTAAAAACAATACAATTTCAGATAATCAATTTTTAAAGACTTTTAATGTACAGGTTTCCCTATCAGAAACAAACTTGTGTATATATGTAAAACATACTTTAGCTAATTCACAATTAAACTCACAGAATTACTTCCAGGTACTTTTTGGAATCACATGAGATTTAAATCAGGACATATAGTTTTAATTTTTTTAAAGCTTTTTGTTAGTTTTCATTAATTATTTTGGCCTTTGCAATAATATTTGTAACTATTACGATAACTGTTCAGCTGCTACTAATGTATGTAGTGGTATTTCTCAATTTTTAAACAATATTATGTTCTCATACATCTAGTTCCAAATTTTCTATCACCTATGCCTTGTTGGGCTTGTCAACAAATAATATTCCTTATTACTCATCTGTCTGCATTCACAGTGGAATAAACTAGCTGGACACCGGCTTGAGACAAAATTCGTTTTCACCTTTGTTTAGTGTAAGTATGTGCACAGAAGTTATGGAAAGTAAATTAAAGCAAAAATCATTCTTCTGGAGACAAAGAAAGTATGAAACTGCCTCCTAACCTCTTTGTTCCTTGGAGGGACACTTGGTACTGGTCACTGAGACATGGTCTTTGTGCAAATTCATACAATTTTGTTTATTCAGGAACCAGAATTGTCCATGGGGTTGTAAGGTACTGCTAAGAGAATCCTCATTTTCTTATTCTTTTCCTCTCTTACTCTTTTTTAGTTGAAACCACATTCATCATTCAAGTCTTCACGTATTTTGTACTGGAGCAAACATGAAATCAAACACATAAAGGAAATTCAGACACTTTTTTGAAAAAATGTTAATTTTTATATGGCACATACATTGTTTCAGTGTCTTATGTGAATTTCGAGTGTGTGTGTGTGTGTAAATGTTTTTCTTTGAGATTTCAAAGGAACTATTTGTAAGAGTTTGTAGAGAAAAATTTACATTGTTATAAAGAGTAAAAAAAAAAGAGTAAAAACTATTGCTATGAAAACCAATATGAAATATTTACACATACATTTTTAGATGCTAGAAGATACTGTTTGAAATACTTTATTCTTTTAAAATGAGAAAAAGAAGCTCTGTCTTTGGGCTATTAGTTAGCCTCATTTTCTCTTGATATTGGCATTTTCCTTGGCTGAATCTCATCAGTGAGCGTCTGACCTGTGAGGCTCGCGCCCCTTCCAAATTCGTACCCGGCCTTACGGGCTGCATGCATGGATGACAGAAGGAAAACCGTAAATGTCAGGAGGACCTGGGAAATTTTGTAATTACCGGTGTCCTTCCGGCAGTGCAGTGGGACAGACCGGATTTAGAAGGCTGTTCCAGGTTTCTGAGTCTAATGAGTCTGAAACTGCACTGTAATTGAAGGCTCAGCTGAGGAACGCAGCACCCGCCTGCTCGGGGACAGATGTGTGGGCTGCACCCCAGAAGAAATCTTGTGTTCAGATTTCCCAAAGATGATTACTTTTTGAAATCTCTCGAACAGAAATGGGATTATTCGTGCTCAGTGATCTATTTAAAGCTTCAGAGAAACATTTAATTGGAACACCATCTGAGAGTTCCCATTTTTGAAAATTTCATTAGTATTACTTTTAATTTTGAGAACACCTGAACCGTACTTAAAGATCTCATTTATCTGTGAATGCAGAAAATGTTCATTATAATTAGGTAAAAACAAGGAATGAATATTCTGATGTAGTTTGCTTTGATCCACAGAAGTTTTTAAATTTTTGAATACTTTCAGATTTAAGTTTGGGCAGTGCTTTTGTGCAATATTCTGTAGCTGTTTTCAGTAGAACTTGTGTATTACTCCATGGATAGCTCCAGAAGAATTTACCTTAATAAGGAAAAATAACAAAAATGAGCCCCAGCTTCTGCAGAGCTTTCAGGTAACAGATAATTCCATCCCTCCCCTTAACCTTACTGTCATATAAGTGAGGACATGTTACTCTCACTTTAGAAATACTAAAAGCAAGCGTATTGTGATTTCAAACACATACTCATTTTAATAAGACAGGAGACTTTCAGGAATAGATTTTTGAAGTATCATTTATTTGACTAAAAGCACTTGCTCTTTGTAGACTTAATTAACAGGCACTAACACTTCCGTCATTTCCTGTCCTGATGGACCTTAGTCTACTACTGCATTTTCAGGTTGTTAGGGTTGAAATTGGGGAGGAAAAGACAGCTTGCTGCTCTTCGCTGATGAGTGTCACACAGACCTCGGCATTCTTCTGTAAGCTGTAGCACTCTGTCTCTCTACACGACCGTTTATGCACAGCGGACTTCTGGAACACTGGCTAAAAGTTTATATAAAGGAGTTCCTTAAACAACTTGTCCAATTTTGTCATTCTACCAAGTAGTAATAATATACCTTTTACAAAATGCAAAGAGTAAAACCTAGTTTTGTTGGCAAGCTTGGTGCCAAACGTATCGACAAACTCTGATAATACAGAGGCAGAGAAGAGCAATCCTTCCTTAAGATATTTAGTGTTCTTGGGCAAAAAATACATATATTACAATAAACTTTAGTGATAAATTAGTCTCTAAAATATAGCGGCATTTCTCAAGAGAGAATCAAAAATGTTAAATGTAAGACATGTAACTATTTTGGAGATAAAATTAGAAATGAATGCTTATAAATCTACAACAAAGCATTAAAAAGGATAAATAATCAAACTTCACTCAATGGTAATGCAGTGAAAATAGAATAAGTTGAAATCGTTTTCAAAATTTTTTTACCAAAAAAATACATTTATTTTGAGTAATTTCTATAGAACTTTCAAAGAAGTGCTTTCGAGTTGTTAAAATTTTACTATAATACAGAAGAAATGTGAAAAATCAGTATGTTTTTATCACTTCCTATACAAAAATAAAAAGTTGTAGTACAAAAAAAGAAAATAAAAGATAACTATAAGCCAATCTCATTATAGAGGCTAAAAAATCCAAATGAAAACATTTGCAAAATAAGTGATATATTAAAATAATAATGCATGATGTCAAAATGATTGAACTAACATTTGAGTATTTTGGATGGTAATAATATACTAAATTCTATGCTAATGAGTCAGATTGAGTATTGGTTAGCCTTACTCTCATTTTTTAAATTACAATGTATTAAAAATACCATTACCCACCACAAAAACTGTCACTATACTAAGAAGTTTTGTTAATATTGTTTAAAAGAACTCCACAGCCAGTATCATTCATATTAGCATTAACCTCTTTTAAGTCAGAAATTACGCAAAGATGGCAGCCGCCCTGTCTACCTTCTGATGGGGGCTGGATACAATGTCATAATCCAAGCAGTGGAGATAAGTCACAGACATTGGTGTGCAGGAACTGAAACTACCTAATAGTTCTAAGAAAGGAACTAAAACACTGTTGCAGAATTAAGATAGTTTTGCAAGGTCACTATATTTAAGGCTGATATTAAGAAATCCATCTATGCCCTGCATATTATCAGCAATTGATTATGTAATATGGAATAGAAGAATGACTCTTTCACAGAAGCCACAGGAATGATTAATGTGGGATGGAAACAATGTACTTAGAGTGCATTTTTGAATACTTCGCAAAAATAATGCACATTTACGTGCAATTAAATTATTGACTTAGTTATATAAATTGATCCATTTCTCAAATATTCGTAGTTAATATGTTAAATCAGTTGGGCTTTTTTAAATGATTTGTTCTTTTTGAAGATTATTTGTACCTAGTAATTCTCCTTGCACTTGGCAGGCAGGCACAGTATCGCTGAGCTGAATCCCGGGCCCTCTACCTAGTAGTTCTAATTGTAGTAATGCAAACAGAACCCGAACCTTCGGAATTCCACACATATGTGCAGTCCTGAAGTAAAACTGAAATTAGCGTTAACTTCTCCAGACTCAGCTGGGGTGGGCCATGCACCAGAGCCCAGATCCTCAGGAAGAGGCCGCCAGACCTGGCTCCATCCCGGGATTGCACGGTTCGCT